CCCCAGCCGTAGCCGCAGCCGCAGCCCCCGGCGCCGCCGCAGCAGCCGCAGCCGCAGTCGCAGCGCGGGGCGGGGCCGCGACCCACGGGATGGCGGTTTGGACCGCTACGCGGCGGCCCGCAGGGACGACCGCGGTCGCGAGCGAGAGCGAGAGCGCGAGCGCGGCGGCGCCCGGGACGCGCCCCCGCCGCGAGACGGCGGCGCCGGCGCCGCAGACGGCGCGCGGCCGCGGGGGCGCGGGGTGGCGCAGCTGCATGTTGAGGGGGATGGGGACGCCAAGTACTACAGAGACCCCCGGGACGTGGGCGCCGCGATCGCGCGGGAGCGGCGGCAGGAGGCTGGGGGCGGCGGCGGCGCCGAGGGCGGCCGGGAGCGGCGGCAGGAGGCTGGGGGCGGCGGCGGCGCCGAGGGCGGCCGCGAGGGCGCGGAGGCAAACGGCGAGGCCGCTGCCGCAGCGGCCCCGGAGGCGCCGCAGCGCGAGCGCAAGGCGCCTGTCGCGAGTGAGCTGGCCGGCTGGCGCGCCCCCCTGCCGACGCGCGGGACCTTCGCCTCCTCCAGCGCACGCGCCACTTCATGCCCATGGCGTTGTCCCCCCTGCCGTGACTGCAACTTGCATGAGCACCATCTCCCCATCTATCACGGCGCGGACCTTCCTTGCCCGCCCCCCGAATCCGACCCCCCACATTGGACCCTCCCCCCGCGCAGCCAAGGCGGGTGGCGCGTACATCCCGCCGTTCAAGCTGGCGCGCATGATGGCGGAGCTGGACGACAAGGCGGGGGCGCAGGCGCAGCGCCTGGCGTGGGAGGCGCTCAAGAAGAGCATCAACGGCCTCATCAACAAGGTGGGTGATTTTTTTCGCGTGTTTGGGGTGTGTGGGGAGGAGTAAGGTGTCCTTGGGGGTCGAGGGTGGTTGGCATGGTTGGCGGCCGCGAGCTGGGGGTGCACCATGACTGGGGAGGAGGGAGGTGAGGGTGCGGGTTGCTGCGGCCTCTGGGGCATGGGTCATCGCGGCGTGCTGGGGCAGAGGGCGGGCCTGGCTCACTGCGACCCCAAACGCACGCCTCCAACGCTTCATTTCTCTGGAATCCACGCGCACATGCACACACACACACACACACATGCAATCTCATCCAATATCACAAGCACATCGCACATGCACACATCCCCCCTGCCCCCGCCCCTCCCCCTCC